CACTTGAGCCCACTGATGGTGCCACTTTGACAGTGCATCTCTCTGGGGGTCTTCCTCTTTTTCTCATACTCTCCACCTTGCCAAACATAATATCCTTCTCCAGAGGCTGGTCCCTCTTGACAATGTTTTAGCACTTTCTTATTTCCTGGTTCAATAAGACTTCCAGGATCATCCTGTACTTTCCAACTGTAGGCCTGGAATGAGCTGTGAGTTACTTCTCTAGGGAGTCCTGACTCCTTATAGTAGAGAACGGTTCATAGAAACCAAGATCTGGCTGTTAGGTATGTTCACATGTGTTACTGGGGTATCATTGCTTCCAGTCCCTCTCACATACTCTTTTTCTGAAACTTTGAGATTTTATATTCTGTGGAGATTGTTTACTGATCTAAATTCTGAAACTACCTTATTAATCAACTGTGTTCCAGTAGAGGAAAGAACCAGAGGAAATGCTTATTTACATTTACAAACAATAATGAATCTAAAGGATTACCATGAAGTTCATAGAGTCAGTTTTATTGTGATACTCATTTAGCTACAAATAAGTACTTTCAGAGAGCATATGTGGCTGAGAACCTGGATACCTGGGCTTTAATATCAGTTCTGATTTTTAGTAGTTTTAAAAACTGGTCGGTCACTTTGTTGACTTAAGTGTTCTTAGAGCATCCTTTTACCTTTGAAAAAAATTTTTTTTTTCTTTTTAAATGGATCAAGGAAAGTTTCATATTATAACATATTATTGAGAAATGTGATTAAATTTCTGTGGTTACTCAGTGTTCTACAAGGTCACTCCATAAGGTCTGTGGTTGGAGGCTGCCAGCCTCTCCATGGGAAAATGTTGAGGCTTTCTGCTCCTGTAAAGAATTAAATCCTTGGAAACCCTTTAGATGGTTATTATGAGTTGTAACTGACTCAACTGCACTTAACAACAATAGCAAACATGTTTCAAAGATAATAAGTGTCATTTTTTTTTTTAAAGTTTGTAGATATCTATAGATATTTAGGTATTCTCTTATATGCAAGCAAAATGATTGACTTGTAGTTTGCATTTCAACTTCCCAACGCCATGAAGTATACGTTTACCATGTGATAAACAGGCCAGAAGATTTTCTTAAAGTAACATTCACTTGTCTTGTTTATTGTAGCAAATATACTACTTTGCTCACAGATAGTGAAAACAGGCTTTTGCTGTTCCCATCCATGTAAGTACAGTTTATTTTCTAAAGTGTTTATCAGAAAGAATAACCATATAAAAATATACTTCTTTTTCTTGATATTTTGTTATAGTAAAAATTTTAGCAGAAACTCAATATAATGATTGACTGCAATAGCGTCTAATCAGTACTTTTATTTGTCCAATTGCTGCATATTCAGTTTTTCCATATATGTAATAATATTTAAACAGTATGTTTTGTACTTTTATATCTTACACTTAACCATTAGTATTTCCCAATGTTACAATAATCTTTTTCTTACCTTTACTTCTCTGTTTCTCTTATATTATAAATTAACCGAAGTTAACCGTTTGGTGTTTTTCTCTTCACATTTTTTTTTTTTTCATAGAATTTTTGGAGAGAAAATTTTTTTGCAAAATAAAAAGGGTCATATTGTATATATATTTTTGTTACTTGCTTTTTTCACTGAAAACATTATTAGATCAATAAATATAAATGTAGGTCTAATGCTTTAACATGGCACTAATAGTCTTATAGAATATAGATTTCTTTATACCCTTTTTTTTTTTGCTACTTGAAGGACTACCTATTGTAACACTAATTGTATAATTCTACCACCTTGATCTTCAGGAAACCTAATAAAAGAGTAGAAGTGGTCCGGCTAAATGATGTGATGGACACTATGCTTGAGAGGGCTGGTGTGGAAAATGAAGAATATACAGGGCCAACCCAGGTAAACAAATAGTTCCAATTTAAATAAATACTTACTTGTCCTTGTGTGAGCCTGTAGGATAAGCACTGGACTGCAAGGTTGGTTTGAATGGCCCAAACTCACCAGCTGCTCCTTGGAAACTCTATACAGGGTCACTATGAGTTGGAACCAACTTGACAACACTTAGCAACAACAATAACAACATACATAATTTTTTCTGAACTATGTTAGATGTAGGTACAGTGTGCCTTTTATTATCAAATATTTCAAATAGTGTGAATTACTAAAGAACATGAATTACTAAAGGAGTCTTAGTTGTATAGTGGATTATGAGCTGGGCTACTAACCACCAGATCAGCAGTTTTAATCTACCAGTTGCTCCACAGGAGAAAGATGAGGTTTATAGCTTCGGAAACCCTATACAGAGTTGCCATGGGTCAGTGGCACACAACTACCAGTATACCACTGAAGAATAAATATGTTCTCGTACATTTCATGATATAGCTTTCCAAATCAGGAACTTTAACACTGATACGTTACTGTTGTCTACTGTGGTCTATAGTCAGATTTCATCAGTTGTCCCTATAGTGTATTTATAGCTACTTTCCCCTAGTCTAAGACCCAGGCTCACATAAAGCTTTGGGTTGTCATGTCCATTTAAGCAACTTTAATCTGAAACAGATCGACACCCTTTGTTTGTTTGTTTGTTTGTTTATAGTCCTTGGTATTTAAAGAGCATAGGTGAGCACTTCTGTTCTTAATTTAGACTTGTCTGATATACTGTCATGATTAGATTCAGGTTTTACATTTTTGATAGCTATATCACTGAAGTGACATTGGGGTCTTCTAAGTGTATCATTTGAAGAGGCACATAGATTTTTCTTACTCATATATATGTATAAACGAAGGTATAAATGAAATTAATTAACCAAGGTGTTTCTAAAACTTATGCACATGCAGAATACTTATTTCCTAAAATGTCTTTTACTGATATAACTGAGTATCACTGGTTGACTTATTTTCTGCCAGATGCACAAGCTGCTACATATGTTGAAGAAGGAACAGACCATTTATAATACAGTATTCCATGAACTTATCCGACAAGTCAGTGTGGACTGTGCAGATAGAGGAGAATTACTTTCCAAAATCAGGTCTGTTACTGGAATAGCCCAGTTTTCTTATGAAGTTTATGTTAGACTGTGTTCATGTCTGCTTTTGAGAACACTGTAAAATTATATTTCTATATCTTATTGACTAAAGGGCACTGTAGGATAAACATTGGAGCTGTAGAATAAGCACTGGACAGTTAAACACAAGGTCAGCAGTTCAAACCCTCCAGCCACTCATCGGAAACCCCATACAGGGTCACTAGAACCTGCTCAACAGCACTTACCAACAATAGCAACAACTACATTTTCTACTATATTTTATGTAATAAATATATAGTATTTGAGAACTTCCTTAAGGTGATTTCTATTGGGATGATACCATATTTTTGTTATGATAGATAGTAAAGTGTTCTGTGAAATAAAAGAAAGAGTATAGGTTTCACGATCAGACAGATCTCAGATCTGGTTTCAGATCTTCATCCAGGTGTGGCCTTGGTAAAATCTGAGTCTTAGTTTTCGCATCTGTCAATGACAGTTTCCATTTGTATATTTGTTCACTTATCAATGGTATCTGTGGAGTATCTTACTCTCTGCCAAGCATAAAGTTACTTCACTAGATTGAGGTGTGTTTTTAATGGGAGAACAGAAGTAGATGAACTTAGTTATAGTTATTATTAATTATGATATATGTTGTGTGCTGAGCCCTTTCCACCTCATAGCAAGGGACCCTGTATAGGGTTTCTGAGAGTGACTAGTGGGTTTGAACTGCTGACATTACAGTAGCAGTCCAGTGTTTATGCTACAGCACCACACCGTGACCTGCAGCATATATACTTTATAGTTATAAATTAAAACATGCTTTTCATTTGTAAGCTTTCAGAAATATCACCTTGAGCCATTTCTCTCTACCACTTAAATTCTTGTTTTTTTTCACCAGTAAATCTTCCCTTATAGAAGTATGTCTGTATG